CCTACCGGGATATTGCTGACTGTTAGAGGGGAAAGAAGATCTCCCCCACTGATTGGGTTTGTGTATGTCAATGAGTCACCTACCGGGATATTGCTGACTGTTAGAGGGGAAAGAAGATCTCCCCCACTGATTGGGTTTGCATATGTGAATGAGTCACCTGCCGGGATATTGCTGACTGTTAGAGGGGAAAGAAGATGTCCCCCACTGATTGGGTTTGTGTATGTCAAATAGTCACCTACCGGGATATTGCTGACTGTTAGAGGGGAAAGAAGATCTCCCCCACTGATTGGGTTTTTAGTATGTCAATGAGTCACCTACCGGGATATTGCTGACTGTTAGAGGGGAAAGAAGATCTCCACCACTGATTGGGTTTGTGTATGTCAATGAGTCACCTACCGGGATATTGCTGACTGTTAGAGGGGAAAGAAGATCTCCCCCACTGATTGGGTTTGTGTAAGTCAATGAGTCACCTACCGGGATATTGCTGACTGTTAGAGGGGAAAGAAGACCTCCCTCACTGATTGGGTTTTTAGTATATCAATGAGTCACCTACCGGGATATTGCTGACTGTTAGAGGGAAAAGAAGATCTCCCCCGCTGATTGGGTTTGTGTATGTCAATGAGTCACCTACCGGGATATTGCTGACTGTTAGAAGGGAAAGAAGATCTCCCCCACTGATTGGGTTTGTGTATGTCAATGAGTCACCTACCGGGATATTGCTGACTGTTAGAGGGGAAAGAAGATCTCCCCCGATGATTGGGTTTTTAGTATGTCAATGAGTCACCTACCTGGATATTGCTGACTGTTAGAGGGGAAAGAAGATCTCCCCCACTGATTGGGTTTGTGTATGTCAATGAGTCACCTACCGGGATATTGCTGACTGTTAGAGGGGAAAGAAGATCTCCCCCACTGATTGGGTTTGTGTATGTCAATGAGTCACCTACCGGGATATTGCTGACTGTTAGAGGGGAAAGAAGATCTCCCCCACTGATTGGGTTTGTGTAAGTCAATGAGTCACCTACCGGGATATTGCTGACTGTTAGAGGGGAAAGAAGACCTCCGTCACTGATTGGGTTTTTAGTATATCAATGAGTCACCTACCGGGATATTGCTGACTGTTAGAGGGAAAAGAAGATCTCCCCCGATGATTGGGTTTGTGTATGTCAATGAGTCACCTACCGGGATATTGCTGACTGTTAGAGGGGAAAGAAGATCTCCCCCACTGATTGGGTTTGTGTATGTCAATGAGTCACCTACCGGGATATTGCTGACTGTTAGAGGGGAAAGAAGATCTCCCCCACTGATTGGGTTTGTGTATGTCAATGAGTCACCTACCGGGATATTGCTGACTGTTAGAGGGGAAAGAAGATCTCCCCCACTGATTGGGTTTGTGTATGTCAATGAGTCACCTACCGGGATATTGCTGACTGTTAGAGGGGAAAGAAGATCTCCCCCACTGATTGGGTTTGTGTATGTCAATGAGTCACCTACCGGGATATTGCTGACTGTTAGAGGGGAAAGAAGATCTCCCCCACTGATTGGGTTTGTGTATGTCAATGAGTCACCTACCGGGATATTGCTGACTGTTAGAGGGGAAAGAAGATCTCCCCCACTGATTGGGTTTGTGTATGTCAATGAGTCACCTACCGGGATATTGCTGACTGTTAGAGGGGAAAGAAGATCTCCCCCACTGATTGGGTTTGTGTATGTCAATGAGTCACCTACCGGGATATTGCTGACTGTTAGAGGGGAAAGAAGATCTCCCCCACTGATTGGGTTTGTGTATGTCAATGAGTCACCTACCGGGATATTGCTGACTGTTAGAGGGGAAAGAAGATCTCCCCCACTGATTGGGTTTGTGTATGTCAATGAGTCACCTACCGGGATATTGCTGACTGTTAGAAGGGAAAGAAGATCTCCCCCACTGATTGGGTTTGTATATGTGAATGAGTCACCTACCGGGATATTGCTGACTGTTAGAGGGGAAAGAAGATCTCCCCCACTGATTGGGTTTGTGTATGTCAAATAGTCACCTACCGGGATATTGCTGACTGTTAGAGGGGAAAGAAGATCTCCCCCACTGATTGGGTTTGTGTATGTCAATGAGTCACCTACCGGGATATTGCTGACTGTTAGAGGGGAAAGAAGATCTCCCCCACTGATTGGGTTTGTGTATGTCAATGAGTCACCTACCGGGATATTGCTGACTGTTAGAGGGGAAAGAAGATCTCCCTCACTGATTGGGTTTGTGTATGTCAATGAGTCACCTACCGGGATATTGCTGACTGTTAGAGGGGAAAGAAGATCTCCCCCACTGATTGGGTTTGTGTATGTCAATGAGTCACCTACCGGGATATTGCTGCCTGTTAGAGGGGAAAGAAGATCTCCCCCACTGATTGGGTTTGTGTATGTCAATGAGTCACCTACCTGGATATTGCTGACTGTTAGAGGGGAAAGAAGATCTCCCCCACTGATTGGGTTTGTGTATGTCAATGAGTCACCTACCGGGATATTGCTGACTGTTAGAGGGGAAAGAAGATCTCCCCCACTGATTGGGTTTGTGTATGTCAATGAGTCACCTACCGGGATATTGCTGACTGTTAGAGGGGAAAGAAGATCTCCCCCACTGATTGGGTTTGTGTATGTCAATGAGTCACCTACCGGGATATTGCTGCCTGTTAGAGGGGAAAGAAGATCTCCCCCACTGATTGGGTTTGTGTATGTCAATGAGTCACCTACCGGGATATTGCTGACTGTTAGAAGGGAAAGAAGATCTCCCCGTCTGATTGGGTTTGTATATGTGAATGAGTCACCTGCCGGGATATTGCTGACTGTTAGAGGGGAAAGAAGATCTCCCCCACTGATTGGATTTGTGTATGTCAAATAGTCACCTACCGGGATATTGCTGACTGTTAGAGGGGAAAGATCTCCCCCACTGATTGGGTTTTTAGTATGTCAATGAGTCACCTACCGGGATATTGCTGACTGTTAGAGGGGAAAGAAGATCTCCCCCACTGATTGGGTTGGTGTATGTCAATGAGTCACCTACCGGGATATTGCTAACTGTTCAGAGGGGAAAGAAGATCTCCCCCACTGATTGGGTTTGTGTATATCAATGAGTCACCTACCGGGATATTGCTGACTGTTAGAGGGGAAAGAAGATCTCCCCCACTGATTGGGTTTGTGTATGTCAATGAGTCACCTACCGGGATATTGCTGACTGTTCAGAGGGGAAAGAAGATCTCCCCCACTGATTGGGTTTGTGTATGTCAATGAGTCACCTACCGGGATATTGCTGACTGATAGAGGGGACAGAAGATCTCCCCCACTGATTGGGTTTGTGTATGTCAATGAGTCACCTACCGGGATATTGCTAACTGTTCAGAGGGGAAAGAAGATCTCCCCCGTTGATTGGGTTTGTGTATGTCAATGAGTCACCTACCGGGATATTGCTGACTGTTAGAGGGGAAAGAAGATCTCCCCCGCTGATTGGGTTTGTGTATGTCAATGAGTCACCTACCGGGATATTGCTGACTGTTAGAGGGGAAAGAAGATCTCCCCCGCTGATTGGGTTTGTGTATGTCAATGAGTCACCTACCGGGATATTGCTGACTGTTAGAGGGGAAAGAAGATCTCTCCCACTGATTGGGTTTGTGTATGTCAATGAGTCACCTACCGGGATATTGCTGACTGTTAGAGGGGAAAGAAGATCTCCCCCGCTGATTGGGTTTGTGTATGTCAATACCTCAGCGTAGACTATTTATGTCTCTTGGGGCACGGCTTGTACAGTCGTCTAAGGCGCCGCGATTCGCTGTGCAGAGTTGTGTCCCTTGGGCACGCCAGAAACCTATGATTTTTGGTTCGAAAACTGGTTAGCCCCGATGATGTTTCAAGGTTTGTCAGCACCATACCCGTGCTCGTGGGTTTCACCGAAGTGGTAAACGTCTGAGACCCGCATCAGTTCGGGCTTTCCTCCCGCATTAAGCTGACACGCCGTGATGTAACTGGAATACTGTTAGAAGCGACGTTAAACCCAACTCACTCACTCAGTGTTAATGTCTCTACGTCTCTTACACAAGCGTTAGGTAATATATCAGTAAACACTTGTCTTGTTGAAATGGAAAAGTACCCTGTTGTCAGTTCCGCCTAGATCATTTTGCATACGACACAGGTGTAGTTTAACTTGAAGAGTACAAGCCAGTGTATGTGAAACCAGTGTCACTCAATTTGTGTACGTCTTTCAGATTGTGTGATGGCGTGTTGAAAGAGTGGATGAGTGTTAGTCATTAACATCCGAATGTCAGATGTGGATTTGAATGTCGTTCGTTTATCAGTTCGTGAACATTGCTTTCATGATGCATACTTCTTAAATTTAACGTGACTACACATGATGCTGTCCATCAGGCTGACTCGCTTCATCATTAATGCGGACAACGAACTACGGCGGTATTTGTGCTTTCCTTTAGTAGCTAACTCAGTCGGAGTATAATCAGCTAATTTATGAAACACTACAAAATCTCTTCCCGGTACAAACGCCCCCCAAACCTAGTACTTATACGAACATAAAGAGTGTTATTTTGGTCTTTACAAAGACCAATATGAATAAATTCTGGTCGGTTACCATGGGAACGTCTCATTTCCCTGGCGTTTACTTCATGACTAAACTTGACAAGTCCAGGAACTAGCACGGAGTAGGAAGTACACCACAAACTGCCACTGGAGTCTAAAGTGGGATGTATTGTGCATTCATCCTGCAAGATCTTAACTCCACCGAGACCGCATGTTATCCATTATCACTGCATCGTGTGCAGCTGTTAAACTAGTTTACTACCTTTGCTAATTTGGTTGCATGCGTTCTAGCCACATTTACTCAAGGTGCTTCAAAGCAGTTTTTCAAAATCTGTTTAATATTCTTTGCTGTCTCCCTTAACAGCGACAATCCACTGGGATTGCTTTACTGCAACCCGGATATGTAATCCTTCCTAATCCCTTTCTTCCAGGCCGATGGGTGTTTGGGGAGGCGGTGTGTCAAGTTTTTGCATTCGTCAGTCACGTGACCGTGGGGGGTTCGGCGTGGCTCCTTGCCCTGACGGGGCTAGAAAGGTAATGTACAATGGATTACTTTTGTAAAGGAAATAGTTTAATTGGAATGTTAGAAATTGATTTTTTACTTGGATATTTCCTAGGTTTGACATCAGAGTATGAGAGATGGTTTTCTTTCGACAGCTATTCTTTCATGGATCAAGACTGCCTGGCGCTAATTCTGTCGCCTCTCGGGGCCATGCTGCTTTCTGGTACAAAGAAACAATTCATACTCATGTTGCGTGTGAGAACAAAACTAAAGTTTTTTTCAGAAATCAGTTATAGTTACATGATCTATCGTTATATATTATTTTTCAGCAAATATTAATACCACGAAAGGCATTTACGTTGTCATTACTATTCGTATCAAGTGTACGTCATTTCCCAAGGACAACTTTAATTTCTAACGGAAAAAGGCTGGACGTGTAAAGGAATCAGACTGGAACTGTTTTCTATCAGTGAATGAGGCAACAGAGCAAATTTAAGAGAAGAATTTATTTATTTATCAGTTTGAATTTAATCAAAGCGCGTGCAATATGCACATTAACAGAAAATCATCCATTTCCACGCAATTGTTCTTCGTGTATTAAAAGTTCAAACTAAAGTATTTATATTGAAACCTCATTAGTCAGGACCCCGTTAGTCAGGACACTGTTAGTCAGGACACTGTCAGTCAGGACCCCGTTAGTTAGGACCTCGTTATTCAGGATCCCATTAGTCAGAACACTGTTAGTCAGGACCCCGTTAGTCAGGACCCCGTTAGTCAGGACCCCGTTTGTTAGGACCCAGTTAGTCAGGACACTGTGAGTGAGGACGCTGTTAGTCAGGACCCCGTTAGTTAGGACCCCGTTAGTCAGGAGCCCGTTAGTCAGGAGCCCGTTAGTCAGGACACTGTTAGTCAGGACACTGTTAGTCAGGACACTGTTAGTCAGGACACTGTCAGTCAGGACACTGTTTGTCAGGACCCCGTTAGTGAGGACACTGTTAGTCAGGACCCCGTTAGTCAGGACCCCGTTTGTTAGGACCCCGTTTGTTAGGACCCAGTTAGTCAGGACACTGTTAGTCAGGACACTGTTAGTCAGGGCACTGTTCGTCAGGACACTGTCAGTCAGGACACTGTTAGTCAGGACCCCGTTAGTGAGGACACTGTTAGTCAGGACCCTGTTGGTCAGAACCCGTTAGTCAGAACACTGTTAGTCAGGACACCGTTAGTCAGGACACTGTTAGTCAGGACACTGTTAGTCAGGACCCTGTTGGTCAGGACCCCGTCTGCCAGGACCCCATTAGTCAGGGCACTGTTAGTCAGGACACTGTAAGTCAGGACACTGTTAGTCAGGGCACTGTTCGTCAGGACACTGTCATTCAGGCCCCCGTTAGTCAGGACACTGTTGGTCATGACCCCGTTAGTCAGGACACTGTTAGTCAGGACACTGTTAGTCAGGACCCCATTAGTCAGGACCCCGTTAGTCAGGAAACTGTTAGTCAGGACCCCGTTAGTCAGGACCCCGTTTGTTAGGACCCAGTCAGTCAGGACACTGTTAGTCAGGACCCTCTTAGTCAGGACACTGTTAGTCAGGATCCCGTTAGTCAGGACCCCGTTAGTCAGGAAACTGTAAGTCAGGACCCCGTTAGTCAGGACACTGTTAGTCAGGACCCCGTTAGTCAGGACACTGTTAGTGAGGACCCCGTTAGTTAGGACCCCGTTAGTCAGGAGCCCGTTAGTCAGGACCCCGTTTGTTAGGACCAAGTTAGTCAGGACACTGTTAGTCAGGACCCCGTTAGTCAGGACACTGTTAGTCAGGACCCCGTTAGTCAGGACACTGTTAGTCAGGACACCGTTAGTCAAGACACTGTTAGTCAGGACAGTGTTGGTCAGGGCACTGTTCGTCAGGACACTGTCAGTCAGGACACTGTTAGTCAGGACCCCGTTAGTCAGGACACTGTTAGTCAGGACCCCGTTAGTCAGGACCCTGTTGGTCAGGACCCTTTTGGTAAGAACCCGTTAGTCAGAACACTGTTAGTCAGGACCCTCTTAGTCAGGACACCGTTAGTCAAGACCCTGTTAGTCAGGACAGTGTTGGTCAGGGCACTGTTCGTCAGGACACTGTCAGTCAGGCCCCCGTTAGTCAGGACACTGTTGGTCATGACCCCGTTAGTCAGGACACTGTTAGTCAGGACACTGTTAGTCAGGACCCCATTAGTCAGGACCCCGTTAGTCAGGAAACTGTTAGTCAGGACCCCGTTAGTCAGGACACTGTTAGTCAGGACCCCGTTAGTCAGGACCCCGTTTGTTAGGACCCAGTTAGTCAGGACACTGTTAGTCAGGACACTGTTAGTCAGGGCACTGTTCGCCAGGACACTGTCAGTCAGGACACTGTTAGTCAGGACCCTCTTAGTCAGGACACTGTTAGTCAGGACACCGTTAGTTAGGACCCCGTTAGTCAGGACACTGTTAGTCAGGACACTGTTAGTCAGGGCACTGTTCGCCAGGACACTGTCAGTCAGGACACTGTTAGTCAGGACCCCGTTAGTGAGGACACTGTTAGTCAGGACCCCGTTAGTCAGGACCCTGTTGGTCAGGACACTGTCAGTCAGAAACCGTTAGTCAGGACCCCGTTAGTCAGGACCCCGTTAGTCAGGACCCCGTTAGTCAGGACCCTGTTGGTCAGGACCCCGTTAGTCAGGACCCCGTTAGTCAGGACTCCGTTAGTCAGGACCCTGTTGGTCAGGGTTCTGTAAGTTGGACCCCGTTAGTCATCTTCTTTGACATTAACACCCGCATCTCATAAACAGCCAATCACTCTCTTTATCTCTGATACTACAAGTTGTTCTTGCCAGCAGAGCATCAGTGCATCTTCTGTGACATTAAAACCCGCATCTCATAAACAGCCAATCACTCTCTTTATCTCAGATACTAAAAGTTGTTCCTGCCAGCGGAACGCCAGTGCATCTTCTGTGATATTAACACCCGCATCTCATAAACAGCCAATGGCTGTATTTATCTCAGATACTACAAGTTGTTCCTGCCAGCGGAGCACCAGTGCATCTTCTGTGACATTAAAAAACGCATCTCATAAACAGCCAATGGCTGTATTTAGCTCAAATACTACACGTTGTTCCTACCAGCGGAACACCAGTGCATCTTCTGTGACATTAAAAACCGCATCTCATAAACAGCCAATGGCTGTATTTAGCTCAAATACTACAAGTTGTTCCTACCAGCGGAACACCAGTGCATCTTCTGTAACATTAAAAACCGCATCTCATAAACAGCCAATGGCTGTATTTAGCTCAAATACTACAAGTTGTTCCTACCAGCGGAACACCAGTGCTATTGTCTGTTTATGAGATGCGGGTGTTAATGTCACAGAAGATGCACTGGTGCTCTGCTGGCAGCAACAACTTGTAGTATCTGAGATAAAGAGAGGTATTGTCTTTATCTCAGATACTCCAAGTTGTTGCTGCCAGCGGAGCACCAGTGCATCTTCTGTGACATTAACACCCGCATCTCATAAACTGTCAATGCCTCTCTTTATCTCAGATACTCCAAGTTGTTGCTGCCAGCGGAGCACCAGTGCATTTTCTGTGACATTAACACCCGCATCTCATAAACAGCCAATGCCTCTCTTTATCTCAGATACTACAAGTTGTTCCTGCCAGCGGAGCACCAGTGTATTTTCTCCGACATCAACACCCGCATCTTGGTGATCGGCATCTATCTGCTCGTGGCTGTCATCGTCACCAGTCCCTTGTACGGCTGGGGCGAATACACGGAGTTCAGGGGTGAGTTAAGTATTGTCGGAATCGTAAAATGGAATCTTCCGTCAGTTGATATTTCTTATGATTATATCGGTAAGTTTGTGGCCTTTATTTACATGTCACTCAAGCCGTCGGAGTACGATGACACACAATCAACTTAGTCGCCTAGCCTGACCTCAGATCGCCACGTGCAACACGTTGGTAGCTGGTAGCTGGTAGCTGGTGACCTCCCCCCCCCCCCCCCCCCCCCCCCCCCGTGTGACTCCAGTGTACAGTGATGAAACAATAAGTTGGTGATACGGGTGATGCAACTATGACGGTGTGACATTAAACTCACTCACTCACTCACTCACTGGGGCATGTAGTGTGCCACTAATAAGCAATACTGTTTTTAATCACTGGAGAACCAACTATGAATAATATCGCCCCACTTTAAAAATAATGCAAAAGACTACATCTTCCATCAACTTTCACTATTTACAGGATATTTTCATCTGACGATTTCCCTGAGTGAGGCAGGTAGTGAGGACCAGACCTCTCTGTCATCCAACACCCCGGTCTCCAACACAAGCCAGTCCAACCTGACCACCAGTAACACCACGGCCTACTGTATGCTGACAGACACCAGCCCTGGGGCGCTGCCAGTGGACGAGCTGAACATCACAGAATTCACGCAGGTACACAAAGTTCAACATGTGTCGTAATCGTAACTAGCAGTGCTTCTAAAACTGTTGGACACCAGGGGTGCGGTTGTCTTGTTGTCTGTAAGGTGCTGTGCATAGTTACCTCCCTTGGCTGTCAGGATCCGCTGGTTCATGGGTGCGACTATGATCCTTGATCCTTTGCTCGCTTCGTACCGTGTTTCATGGCTTCAGATCTGCGTCACCTCCTCTCACAGGAAGCCAATACGCAGAAACTGACAAACTCTTCAAAGTAGTAGTCCAGGAGCCAGGGGTCATTTATCTGCATGAAATGAGAGAGTCTTTCATTGGTATTTCTGAAAGGGGTATCCCATGGGGTAAACAGAACTGCTTGAATGGCACAGCCGGGGCATTTAGCCAGAATTAACCCTTTTCTCTCATTTTGCCGGTATGGACTATCTGGCGAAAACGTGGGATGGGGCAACTTCAAAATTGAAATGCGCTCTTATTAATGGACCTATAAAAGAGATCTAGGTGTCAAAATGAACATCGTGGTGAGCTCCATTGGATCCAATCATGAAATATGCAAATTGACCTTTTTACAGGTCAGTAGGGGTCAAAGGTCACGTGACGACCCTTGAGCTAAAAATTCCGCCTTTTTTCTTATCCAAGCCCAGTTTAGTAGGAAAGACAACAAATATTTTTATAAAGTGAATATGTTTTATTAGATAAGATGCCAGGTAAGTTTTTAAAACCATTTTTGAAGCAATATCTTGAGGTTAGGCTAGCCCACAGCACTGTAGATAATGTGCATTTTTAGCTCTCAGCCCAGATATGTCTCAAAAGTTTTCACCACCAGATGGCACTTCCATACGAATCCACAAATGCAGTGGAAATGTTGTAGCCAAGTTATTTTGAATACAGGATGATATTATGATAAACTGCGAAGTAGGCCTATGGTAATCTTTTCTTTGGTAACCAAAGGTTCAAGGGTCAAGGGTCCAACAAGGGGGCAAACGTCTGATGGTATGCCAAAAAATTGCATCCACTTGTAATGAATTTATGCAAGCAATGAACAAATATGGCCTACATTACCAGGGCAACTTGAAAGACCATATATGGTCTTCTGCCCTAAATAAAGGATCAAGAACAACAATAGATCAGGTTAATCTTGGTACACCCAAATTACCCATTTGCCATCTCTAATGCCACTATATGAGGATCTGATATTCCGGTATCAAAACTTATTTACCAGACAATGAGTCATCTCTATAAAACCGTAGTTACATGCAGTTATCATGTTGTTGACTTTAATGATACTATTCATCATCAGACTCCTCTTCATCTGAAGAAAGGCTTGGGGTCAGCATACCGTCATCTTCATCGTCATCATTCAAGTCCAAATCATCCACCGACAAGTTTCGAGGCACCTGAGGGCACTCAAACCACACCATACCCAGCCTGTTATTGTCATCCACTTTCCAACCATGCCTGATGGGACCAAATCCTACTGGGTCTGCACTGCATGCATACTTCCAGATAAATGCCACATGGTTGGTTCGCTATAGTTTTTCTTCAAGAACTGCTCTGCATGGTGGTAGGCAGCATGGATCAGAGGACTTGATTTTCTCTAATGGGTCTGACTGCTTCTTTGGTGCATACATTTTTTGGAAGAGTTGCAGTCTTGCATCGTTGGTCCTTTGAGCATCCTTCAACCCGTACATGCAGCAGACGTATTCCTCGAGTGTGGCCGCAACATCCACATCAATCGTATCCGAGGTTCCTAGCATGGATAATGCCTTAACAAATAATTCATTCTTAACCATAATTTCATATGGTTTCGACTTCGCCTTCCTCCTAAATGCTGCAGTGAAGTCACAGCCTGTGAAGGCATTGAAGCCGGGCAGTGCTTCACATACCACAGGCCAGATATGTCAATGAGGCGCCGTGTATTCTTCGAATTCACTCCTGCATCCATCCACAACTTCGCATTGATATATTTCGCATGGCATAGCAGAAGAATGAATACATCCGTATCGATGCTGTGGACCATCACTCCTGGCATCTCCTCAGAGGCAGCAACGAAGTTTGCACGAAACACCAGCCTCGTGTCAGCCTCCTCATGGGTACACCCGAGGTCGTTAACTGTTATCCTCTCTACCTGTCTACCATTTGATGTGAAGAGGAAGCATTCCTGTCCAGTTGCAAAATACAGCTTGTGGCCCTCCAGAATACTTGCATAACTTGAACTGAGCCACTCATCTTTCAAAAAGGAAAGCAATTCCCGTTTGAAATCAGCAGATTTCAAGGCATTTTGGAGATCAGCTTGTCTTTTCTGTAGAGGACCGGTGATCTTGTAACAATGCATCAGCGAACAACCACGATTGTCATGCTCCTGATCTTTGATTGATGGTCCATCCGGATATGTATCACAGATGAGATGAACTGTTTTGGCATTAGTACAGACGCGCTGAAAGATTGACCTGGCTACACCGCCGGAAGAAGATGGCAAGGGAGGACGAGTGATGCCATTCTGAACCTTTCTCTTGCAATTGCAGAAGATCATCCTTGACAGTGTCAGAGGCAGCCTTTCCGGTCGCGAGACAATACAGTTTGTCATCACCAGGAATGAATGGGTTCTGGGTGCCTTCGATTTCTCTGATGAGATAATGGAGATGAGAATTGTCTTTCTCAATTCTGGCTGGCGTCAATTCTCTGGACACTTCTCCTGGGGCTGTTAATCCTGCCATTTCTAACAGACAACTCACCACTGCACCTCAAAATGAACGTGTAACTGTCCAGCGCTTGCGTGCATTTACATTTTGCGTAAATGCAGCAATACCCGCATGCCTTGAAGCAGCATCTTTATTGACGGTCTGCTCTAGGGTTAAATCGACCGCACTTCTAGCAATGACTTGCCGGTTCGACGGATGGATAGGGCACAAGCATCAAACACATCTCTTATACCAGGATGAGTATGCTCCATGTTCAGGAGGTTGAGGTGATAGCGTGATATCCATCTTGCGTAGTTTGGACGATGTGTGGCGAAGAACATGGGTATCATCTCACCAAGATGAACAGAGTTATGTCATTAGTTCTACATGCCCGGTCGAGGAGGAGGTACAGGTGAACTAGATCAATATACAGCATCCAGTACTGTGCAGTAGGACCATGACGTCCGGCTCTCGGTTCGTCGCAGTATTGCGCATATCTCCCAAGCAAATTCACAATGGCAGAGGAATCGTGATCAATGAGAGTAGACAACGATCCAGGGCTCGATGCTTGCAAAAAAGGCAATGCCATGCATTCATCAGATATGTGTCCATGGGACTCCAGGAATTGCTTGGAGTGAATGATTTGCAATGCTGTCACAAACAGGGGAGGCAGACGCTTACACCCGTTGAAGTGTTTCCCGCGAATGAAGCCACGCATGGAACCAGAAGCTAGCACATCAGAACCACATAGTATTTCCGGTCTCCAGATGATTCCAAGAAGTAGCCTAAGCAAGCAAAATATGTCATGAAGATATGGAAAGCTCCAAAGCATTATCAAAGAGGGGAGATTCCTGAGCCTGTATCTGCAGGGCTGGCTTTGCAATCGCTAAGTCGTACGTCACCACTGCATACTTATCACCGCATTCTGATGCAACCTTCTGTGATCTGGCCTTCGTTTCCCTTACAACATCTAACCTGGTCGGGGGCAGCTCTATGTTCTCCATGTAGCCTATGACGAATAGTATCATTGAAGTCAACAACATGATAACTGCACGTCACTGCGGTTTAATAGTGATGACTTATTGTCTGGTAATTAAGTTTTAATACCGGAATATCAGATCCTCATATAGTGGCATTAGAGATGGCAAATGGGTGAAAATCGTAACTTTTGAGACATATCTGGGCTGAGAGCTAAAAATGCACATTATCTACAGTGCTGTGGGGTAGCCTAACCTCAAGATATTGCTTCAAAAATGGTCCATTAATAAGAGCGCATTTCAATTTTGAAGTTGCCACACCCCACGTTTTCGCCAGATAGTCCATACCGGAAAAATGAGAGAAAAGGGTAAATTCTGGCTAAATGCCCCGGCTGTGCCTTTCAAGCAGTTCTGTTTCGGATACCCCATGGGTTACCCCTTTCAGAAATACCAATGAAAGACTCTCATTTCATGCAGATAAATGACCCCTGGCTCCTGGACTATAGCGTCAAACCAACTCCCTCCCTAAAACTGTGGGTGAGGGCTGTGTATGCTTTACGACAGTCAAGCGTAGACCCAACAAAATGAACCCGGTAAACAAAAGACTAATGAGGACACAGGGAAAAGCACGTCCGATTCGCACGTCAATCCCCCTCAGGAGTAATGATAAAGTGAGTTGATTTCACCACGGCCTCCCTACACGGTGTCATGCTAACAGCGCTACAGTCACTACAACTAATACTCGCGAAAAGGGAGATATTTGAACATATACAAAGTGGGGGAGCTTTATATTCAGAGGTAGTCCGTTTCACAATTCTGTGTAGAGACACTGAATGATATTTATTCCATAATTTGTGCGTTTGTGAGGTGGAATTGACAAAAGACGCCGCTTTGCCGAGCACAGTGACCCCTGAGACTTGCAGTTGTCCGGTAGGTCGTCCAAATAAGGTGGTGCCAAGCTATGCTGACTCCGTGAGGCCGAGTACTTGAACTTTATTCTTTATACTGCATATAGTCTGTCTTACAGACCCTGATACAAATATATATCAAATACAGCCTATGCAAGTCTATAATGTTTGGCAAGTCTAGATCACTGCAGTATCAGGAAATGAAGAGAGTCACTGGGCTCCTTTTTTATTATATTTTTATTAAGATAACTGAACAACTGTTTTTTTATGTACGATATGTTCATTTCAGAGACTAGATGTTAGTCTATACTGCATATTCTAATACCTTTATATTCTCTCTACTGTATAATCCAACACATTATATATTCTCTCTACTGTATAATCCAACACATTATATATTCTCTCTACTGTATAATCCAACACATTATATATTCTCTCTATTGTGTAATCCAACACATTATATATTCTCTCTACTGTATAATCCAACACAGTATATATTCTCTCTACTGTATAATCCAACACATTATATATTCTCTCTACTGTATAATCCAACACATTATATATTCTCTCTACTGTATAATCCAACACATTATATATTCTCTCTACTGTATAATCCAACACATTATATATTCTCTCTACTGTATAATCCAACACATTATATATTCTCTCTACTGTGTAATCCAACACATTATATATTCTCTCTACTGTATAATCCAACACATTATATATTCTCTCTACTGTATAATCCAACACATTATATATTCTCTCTACTGTATAATCCAACACATTATATATTCTTTATACTGTATAATCCAACACATTATAATTCTCTCTACTGTATAATCCAACACATTATATATTCTCTCTACTGTATAATCCAACACATTATATATTCTCTCTACTGTATAATCCAACACATTATATATTCTCTCTACTGTATAATCCAACACATTATATATTCTCTCTACTGTATAATCCAACACATTATATATTCTCTCTACTGTATAATCCAACACATTATATATTCTCTCTACTGTGTAATCCAACACATTATATATTCTCTCTACTGTATAATCCAACACATTATATATTCTCTCTACTGTATAATCCAACACATTATATATTCCTTTAAGTTTTGGGAAGATATACAATTATTACATAATCATGATGAGTTAATCCAGGTATTTATCAAGATGACGTCACTGTCTTAACGGGTCATCACAACCATCAGGACTGACAAGGTTTCACTAACACAGCTGATCTTTGACAGATAATACAGTCAAGTCTCAAGATGCGGTGGGGTATCCAAGCTCGTCTGTGGTCATTCGGACCCAATCTGACGTACCTGCTCCGAGCACAGTCCACGTCCAGCCTGCAAACCTTCATCCGGAGCTACCACGACAGCAGCGTCAGCGGCCACCTCCTCGCTGCCGCCTACACCGACTGCGACTGTCAGTCACAAGGCAGGTTTCTGTGTGAGAGTATCCATGTCAACCTGACAGAAGTGGAGGAGTACCGGTCCATCTTCCTACCTTTTCAAAGTAAGCAACGGATGGGTGTTCATTCTTCTCATACATCAAACTATGAAAGCAGTTTAAACCTTATTTTATTTCCATGAAAGAAAACCTGGATTAGCCAACAGCCTATTTGAAGATAAATCAAGCATATATATATGTCTGATATGATTTCCAGAACAACACATTCACTTACTGTGGAAAGTAGCAGTAGCACAACACGAAGTCTGTGGTGTTTATATTGGAATAATCTATGTATGTGTAATGTCATAATGTTTCTATTGCAGGTCCTATGATATGTTCAATAGACTTCACAACAGTCAACAAGGCGGGAGCCGGGTGGTTGGCCTTCTTCGTCTTGACCACCGCCGTCATGCCGTTTGGGTTCATGATCGTCATGGCGACAGTTATCATGGTCCAGTGGCGCCATATTCCCCTGGACGTATCGCGGAGTGACTGTGTGCGGACTGGCCGCCTCCTGGTGGGGTCGGGGATATGTGCACTGTTATATTCTCCTTATTTCGTTGTGAACATTGTCAACTCTTTAAAAGTTTACATATCACCTCCTATCCACGAGATTGCACTCTTCATCTATTACTCGTGTTTCATCGTGCCTTGTATCATGTGTGGTGATAAGAGCTGTTTGAGGAGATCGTCCACAAACCGCTCACCGCCATCCCAAAAAGGAAGTATGGAGGATATAGAGTTCCAGTTACTCCAGACAGCACAGATATGATTCGTGCACAGAAGTGGTTTGATTTAAAGACTCGTGGTCCATTCGGGGATACTACCCGCGTCGGGCACACACTTAGCATGGTCACCAGGTGCGGCTTCCCTGGCCGCCGAGGTCCGGTGCGGTGTCATCGATCACAGGACGAAGGAGCGAGGTTCGAAAATATTCAACTGTTCAAAGCCTGACAAACATCGTTTCATGTTATGAAACCAATACCAATTGTGAAAGGTGTGAGAATATTCCGCCAGTTTTCTCGTCATCTAAGTAGATGTTAGTGAAAGCCAATGGTAAGAGGGAATTTCGGCATAGGACTCTCTGGTCAGAAGTGTTTAAGGTCTGGAAACAGGCCGAAGTTAGTTTGTGCTTATTAGAACGGAAACGTAACGAGGTGACAGTGGATGTTCGCGGGTCTGGCACAATGAGGACGAAAAGCCTTGGAATTTCAGCAAACTGCCATGATTTTCATGTGTGTGTTATGAAGCTGTTTCTTACTTGTGAAACCGAGGCATACACTAATGTATAATCGCCTTGGACCGAATGACGTTGGTTTGCATTAATTGGAAGAGACAAAATGATCTTATTGTTTCCCTCGAATTATTTGGAACCATATTTTGATATTGAACCACTTGGTATCGTGTGTATTATGTCGTGAACAAAGTGGAACCCATGTATGGTGACCTGAGCTAAATTTAGCCGAGGTATGGTGACCTAAACTAAACTGAACCGAGGTTTAGTGTTATGAACCAAGTGGACCCGAAGACTGTGACCACATTCATGTGCGCACCAAGTCAGAACCTCTGTCAGGATGGTTCCACCATTGGGAATTGCAAGATGGGTGTTCTGATATAACATCACTTGCACCCGTCAAAGGATGTTCGTGTACCGACTGTGCCAATTGCCGAAGTTCTGGTGTAAAACTGAACTGAACCCATTGTATAATATTACGACATGAACCTGAAGGGAGCGTACTGTATGAACCCATTGTAACGAGTGAGCCCTCTTCCAAACTGGATTCCCCCATTGCCATGATGACCTGTGGGGTTGCCAGGTGCACCAGGTTTGGAAACACGGAACTACAGAAGAAGAGTGACAAGCGTTGTGTCCTCACTTCAACACCAAAGGCATTGCCAGGACACGTTACTTGTGTCGGACATTCTATCAACACAATAGAAACATAATCAGGCCTATAGCATGAAAACCTAAACAGCACTAGTTTTCCAGAGGCCAAACATTAAAGGGAAATATATAGGATGTATTCTTGGTATCGTTTAGACGAAACAGATAACCTCATTACTAGAACCCAATGACTGAAATAGTGCTGAACTGCAATGTGTCCTATATATGATTTTAATGACATTGGTATCACGTCGGTGTATCATGTGTTGACCCTGGTCAGAGTTAGGCATCATCTGGAGCATCACATTCATGTCAGCCGGAGATCTTGGACTGGGCAGACATGGCCGGTCACATGCTCGTAAATATAGAAATACAATTACAATAATGAAGATCGATTGATGAACAGACAGCGGGAGATGAGGCACCTGTGACCGACACACGACCCGTGCTGAAACTACGTACACAGGCACCCTGCAGACGTAATGTCCATGGTGGTGCAGTATAGGTACATGGTGGTGCAGTATAGGTACATGGTGGTGCAGTATAGGTACATGGTGGCTCAGTATATGTACATGCTGCAGTATAGGTACATGATGGCGCAGTATAGGTACATGGTGGTGCAGTATAGGTACATGGTGGCGCAGTATATGTACATGCTGCAGTATAGGTATATGATGCAGTATAGGTACATGATGCAAAATAGGTACATGATGGAGCAGTATATGTACATGATGGTGCAGTATATGTACATGCTGCAGTATAGGTACATGATGGCGCAGTATATGTAAATGATGCTGAAGTAAATGTACATGATGGTGCATTATATGTACATGTTGCAGTATATAAAAATGGTGATGCAGTATATGTACAAGATGGTGCAGTATATGTACATGATGTTGCAGTATATGTACATGATGGTGCATTATATGTACATGATGGTGCAGTATATAAAAATGGTGGTGCAGTATATGTACATGATGTTGCAGTATATGTACATGATGGTGCATTATATGTACATGATGGTGCAGTATATAAAAATGGTGGTACAGTATATGTTCATGATGGTGCAGTATATGTACATGGCGATGCAGTATATGTACATGGTGGTGCAGTATATGTACATGGTGGTGCAGTATATGTACATGATGGTGCAGTATATGTACATGATGGTGCAGTATATGTACATGATGGTGCAGTATATGTACATGATGGTGCAGTATATGTACATGGTGATGCAGTATATGTACATGGTGGTGCAGTATATGTACATGGTGGTGCAGTATATGTACAAGATGGTGCAGTATATGTACATGATGGTGCAGTATATGTACATGATGGTGCAGTATATGTACAAGATGGTGCAGTATATGTTCATGATAGTGCAGTATATGTACATGATGGTGCAGTATATGTACATGGTGGTGCAGTATATGTACATGATGGTGCAGTATATGTACATGATGGTGCAGTATATGTACATGGTGGTGCAGTATATGTACATGATGGTGCAGTATATGTACATGGTAATGCAGTATATGTACATGGTGGTGCAGGATATGTACATGCTGTAGTATATGTACATGATGGTGCAGTATATGTACAAGATGGTGCAGTATATGTACATGGTAATGCAGTATATGTACATGGTGGTGCAGTATATGTACATGATGGTGCAGTATATGTACATGGTGGTGCAGTATATGTACATGGTGGTGCAGTATATGTACATGGTAATGCAGTATATGTACATGGTGGTGCAGTATATGTACATGATGGTGCAGTATATGTACATGATGGTGCAGTATATGTACATGATGGTGCAGTATATGTACATGGTGGTGCAGTATATGTACATGGTGGTGCAGTATATGTACATGGTAATGCAGTATATGTACATGGTGGTGCAGTATATGTACATGGTAATGCAGTATATGTACATGGTGGTGCAGTATCTGTACATGATGGTGCAGTATATGTACATGATGGTGCAGTATATGTACATGATTGTGCAGTATATGCACATGATGGTGCAGTATATGTACATGATGGTGCAGTATATGTACATGATGATGCAGTATATGTACATGATGGTGCAGTATATGTACATGCTGCAGTATATGTACATGATGGTGCAGTATATGTACATGGTGGTGCAGTATATGTACATGATGATGCAGTATATGTACATGATGGTGCAGTATATGTACATGATGGTGCAGTATATGTACATGATGGTGCAGTATATGTACATGTTGGTGCAGTATATGTACATGATGGTGCAGTATATGTACATGATGTTGCAGTATATGTAGATGATGTTGCAGTATATGAACATGATGGTGCAGTATATGCACATGATGGTGCAGTATATGTACATGATGGTGCAGTATATGTACATGCTGCAGTATATGTAGATGATGGTGCAGTATATGTACATGCTGCAGTATATGTAGATGATGGTGCAGTATATGTACAATGTATATGATGCTCTAGGTAAATACGGCCAAGAAATGTTCTTCTTGTGTTATGCTATTATCTGTTTACTATGAAACATTGCTGTAAAAAATAAATATTTCGAAAGGTTTTGTTTTGAAGATGATATTTATTTACTTGTGTTGTTTCTTCTGGTGCAGTATACATTGCAGGGTGAGCTTCGTGACGTGTGGTGAGGCTAGGTGAAGTTGGGTGTAGTTTGCTGTATGGTGTTTGTGTGGAGTTTGGGTTGGGTGGTGTGTTCTGTATGGTGTATATCTGGAGATTGGGTTGGGTGGTGTGTTCTGTATGGTGTATATGTGGAGTTTGGGTTGGGTGGTGGGTGCTGTATGGTGTAGATGTGGAGTTTGGGTTGGGTGGTGGGTGCTGTAAGGTGTAGATGTAGAGTTTGGGTTGGGTGGTGTGTGCTGTATGGTGTAGATGTAGAGTTTGGGTTGGGTGGTGTGTGCTGTATGGTGTAGATGTAGAGTTTGGGTTGGGTGGTGTGAGCTGTATGGTGTAGATGTGGAGTTTGGGTTGGGTGGTGTGTGCTGTATGGTGTAGATGTGGAGTTTGGGTTGGGTGGTGTGAGCTGTATGGTGTAGATGTAGAGTTTGGGTTGGGTGGTGGGTGCTGTATGGTGTAGATGTGGAGTTTGGGTTGGGTGGTGGGTGCTGTAAGGTGTAGATGTGGAGTTTGGGTTGGGTGGTATGTGCTGTATGGTGTAGATGTGGAGTTTGGGTTTGGTGGTGTGTTCTGTATGGTGTAGATGTGGAGTTTGGGTTGGGTGGTATGTGCTGTATGGTGTAGATGTGGAGTTTGGGTTTGGTGGTGTGTTCTGTATGGTGTAGATGTGGAGTTTGGGTTGGGTGGTGTGTGCTGTAAGGTGTAGATGTGGAGTTTGGGTTGGGTGGTATGTGCTGTATGGTGTAGATGTGGAGTTTGGGTTGGGTGGTGTGTGCTGTATGGTGTAGATGTGGAGTTTGGGTTGGGTGGTGTGTGCTGTATGGTGTAGATGTGGAGTTTGGGTTATGTGGTGTGTGCTGTATGGTGTAGATGTGGAGTTTGGGTTGGGTGGTATGTGCTGTATGGTGTAGATGTGGAGTTTGGGTTGGGTGGTATGTGCTGTATGGTGTAGATGTGGAGTTTGGGTTGGGTGGTGTGTGCTGTATGGTGTAGATGTGGAGTTTGGGTTGGGTGGTGTGAGCTGTATGGTGTAGATGTGGAGTTTGGGTTGGGTGGTATGTGCTGTATGGTGTAGATGTGGAGTTTGGGTTATGTGGTGTGTGCTGTATGGTGTAGATGTGGAGTTTGGGTTGGGTGGTGTGTGCTGTAAGGTGTAGATGTGGAGTTTGGGTTTGGTGGTGTGTTCTGTATGGTGTAGATGTGGAGTTTGGGTTGGGTGGTGTGAGCTGTATGGTGTAGATGTGGAGTTTGGGTTGGGTGGTATGTGCTGTATGGTGTAGATGTGGAGTTTGGGTTATGTGGTGTGTGCTGTATGGTGTAGATGTGGAGTTTGGGTTGGGTGGTGTGTGCTGTAAGGTGTAGATGTGGAGTTTGGGTTTGGTGGTGTGTTCTGTATGGTGTAGATGTGGAGTTTGGGTTGGGTGGTATGTGCTGTATGGTGTAGATGTGGAGTGTGGGTTATGTGGTATGTGCTGTATGGTGTAGATGTGGAGTTTGGATTTGGTGGTGTGTTCTGTATGGTGTAGATGTGGAGTTTGGGTTATGTGGTGTGTGCTGTATGGTGTAGATGTGGAGTTTGGGTTTGGTGGTGTGTTCTGTATGGTGTAGATGTGGAGTTTGGGTTATGTGGTGTGTGCTGTATGGTGTAGATGTGGAGTTTGGGTTTGGTGGTGTGTTCTGTATGGTGTAGATGTGGAGTGTGGGTTATGTGGTGTGTGCTGTATGGTGTAGATGTGGAGTTTGGGTTTGGTGGTGTGTTCTGTATGGTGTAGATGTGGAGTTTGGGTTGGGTGGTATGTGCTGTATGGTGTAGATGTGGAGTTTGGGTTGGGTGGTGTGTTCTGTATGGTGTAGATGTGGAGTTTGGGTTGGGTGGTATGTGCTGTAAGGTGTATATGTAGAGTTTGGGTTAGGTGGTATGTGCTGTATGGTGTAGATGTGGAGTTTGGGTTGGGTGGTGTGTGCTGTAAGGTGTATATGTAGAGTTTGGGTTAGGTGGTGTGTTCTGTATGGTGTAGATGTGGAGTTTGGGTTGGGTGGTGTGTGCTGTAAGGTGTAGATGTGGAGTTTGGGTTGGGTGGTATGTGCTGTATGGTGTAGATGTGGAGTTTGGGTTTGGTGGTGTGTTCTGTATGGTGTAGATGTGGAGTTTGGGTTGGGTGGTGTGTGCTGTATGGTGTAGATGTGGAGTTTGGGTTTGGTGGTATGTGCTGTATGGTGTAGATGTGGAGTTTGGGTTTGGTGGTGTGTTCTGTATGGTGTAGATGTGGAGTTTGGGTTGGGTGGTATGTGCTGTATGGTGTAGATGTGGAGTTTGGGTTTGGTGGTGTGTTCTGTATGGTGTAGATGTGGAGTTTGGGTTGGGTGGTGTGTGCTGTATGGTGTAGATGTGGAGTTTGGGTTTGGTGGTATGTGCTGTATGGTGTAGATGTGGAGTTTGGGTTTGGTGGTGTGTTCTGTATGGTGTAGATGTGGAGTTTGGGTTGGGTGGTGTGTTCTGTATGGTGTAGATGTGGAGTTTGGGTTTGGTGGTGTGTTCTGTATGGTGTAGATGTGGAGTTTGGGTTTGGTGGTGTGTTCTGTATGGTGTAGATGTGGAGTTTGGGTTTGGTGGTGTGTTCTGTATGGTGTAGATGTGGAGTTTGGGTTGGGTGGTATGTGCTGTATGGTGTAGATGTGGAGTTTGGGTTTGGTGGTGTGTTCTGTATGGTGTAGATGTGGAGTTTGGGTTGGGTGGTGTGTGCTGTATGGTGTAGATGTGGAGTTTGGGTTGGGTGGTATGTGCTGTATGGTGTAGATGTGGAGTTTGGGTTTGGTGGTGTGTTCTGTATGGTGTAGATGTGGAGTTTTGGTTGGGTGGTGTGTGCTGTATGGTGTAGATGTGGAGTTTGGGTTTGGTGGTGGGTGCTGTATGGTGTAGATGTGGAGTTTGGGTTGGGTGGTGTGTGCTGTATGGTGTAGATGTAGAGTTTGGGTTGGGTGGTATGTGCTGTATGGTGTAGATGTGGAGTTTGGGTTAGATGATGTGTGCTGTATGGTGTAGAATTAGAGTTTGGGTTGGGTGGTGTGTGCTGTATGGTGTACAAGATGTGAAGTTTGGGTTGGGTG